CAACCCAATAACGAACACACTTTCATAAAAAATGGTTGTACTATTGATAATAGATGGGTTGCTCTTTATAATAAATACCTTTGTAAGAAATATAAAGCATACATCAATGTAGAAATTTGTGCTTCTATTAAAAGTATTAAATATTTATTTTAATATATGACTATGCAACATTAGAATTCATAACTACATTTGAAGAATGAGGGACTTTAAATTGGGACAAAATCTTAAGTTTTGTCAATGTTTGATATATTTATGCTCCCAAAGCCATATGGCATATATTTAAGTTTCATATGCATGATAAATCAATAACTATTATATGCTTTCCAGTTCATTACCTATTTTTTAAAATGTCTATTTCATACCAGGTCATGAACAAAAAACACTAGAAAGAACCACTCAAAATGGAATAATGCTTACACAATGGTTCAATTTAAACATGTAAGATACTAATGCAAGACAATACATATATGCTTAAATTTCGTTACACTATATATATAAAAAATCCTCTCATAAATGGCAATTACACCAATGAAAAGCTAAACTCATACCAAGAATATATTCCATATCTTCTTCAAATAGTGAGTTGTACCATTTGTGGCTTATATTATTCCATATAAAAGGTGTTATATCATTTGAGGATATATATATATTGTTAAAAGTGTTATTTTCTCCTCTTTTAAACAAGTAGTTATAGCAATAAGATTTCTAACAAATGATTCAAAATGGCAACATTGCATACAAGAAACTTCTACTTTTAAAATGCCATCCCAATTAAGACATATTATTTTTTATTTATTTGTATTATTCACTAAAAGATCCAAATCTATTATGGGATCAATTCAAAATTGATATATTTAAGGATTATGCTAGAAATTATATAAACTATTTTGATATTGCTTTACTCGATATTAACTCAAAATTTCAACTACACAATAAATCTAATTGTAATTTTAGTTTACCACTCCCAACTCTTACTTGCATTGTCGAACATATGTTTAATACACAAATCCCTGATCCATCACAAAACCAAATCAATGCAAATATAAATCAATTCAGTCATGAATAACGTTATATTTTTGAACTCATTATGAATGCTATTGACACTGACCAACATCAATGTTTCTTTATTGATAGACCTAGTGGTACTGAGAAATTTTTCTACTTAATTACACATTACAATTATAAAGATAAAAGTAATCAGTATGGCATGAACTAGGATTGCAAACATTTTGGTAAAATATGGTCAAACGACATATATAACTTTTAAACTTTTTGTTCCTTTAAATGAAATTTCTATCTCTACTTTAACAATTAATAGTATTGCTAGAAAAACCATTAAACAAGCAAATGTTTTCATATGGGATGAAATTAGTATGGTCTACACACATGTTTTTTCTGCGGTTAATAAATTTTTAAAGCATCTCAAATGTAATTCTAAACCATTTGGAGGCATTACAATGGTTACAAGTGTTGACTTTTGTCAAACCCTTTTTATTATTCCTTATGGCTATAGAACTTCTATTATTTCAAGCTCAGTTAGAATAAATGGACTATAGTCACTCTTTACAACACTAACATTAATAAAGAATATACATTCAAACAATCTTTGTTTTTCTAAATGGCTTCTCAAACTTGGCAATGGTGATAGTAGTTTGAAGTTGCTATATCTCCCACCAGATATTATCAAAATACCACATGCATTATCTATCTCTACATTTGTTATAAACTTTGTTTTCCCAAATACCAATGATATTATAAAGATTTACACAGCTGCATCAAAGGTTATTCTCACCCCACTCAATGATGACATATTTAGAATAAATAATGACATTGTTAGAAGACTACTAGGTGATCCATATGTTTACTTAAGCATTGACACAATTGACTCAAATCAACCTGAAGTGTTCCCAATTGAATTCTTAAATTCAATCACCCCATCGAGACTACACCACATAAATTAATTCTAAAACAAAATGTGATTTTGATTCTTCTTAGGAGTATATCTTCACACTCACCTCATTCTCAAGCAAGTATCTTGAAATGTTTTGGACTGTGAATTTATCATAAGACAATTCAAGGGATCACAAGTTTTTATTCTACGTATTACCCTTACACTTTTTGATCTTGAAATCCCTTTTAAGGTGTCCCGAAGATAATTCCTAATTCATCTAGGTTATTGCTTAATTATTTCTAAAGCTCAAGGCCAAATTTTCAATCATGTTGGCATTTACCTCCCTCAACTTATTTTCACATATGGTCAACTTTATATTGCTCTGTCAAGGTGTAGATCATCTGAACAACTTTGTGTTCAAGTGCTCACAACCCCCCTTCAAGGCAATCTTATACCATATGATCAACACTTTTACATTGTGAATACAGTCTACGCTAAAATTCTTAAGTAGACTGATCAATATATGGCACAATTCCAAATCCAACCATGATTCCACAAAGCTATCACCTTTGACCTGCAATTATGAGTTTAAAGTGCATGCTACAACAAAGCTAGCATTGAGTGGTGTGCATTGGGTGGTGTGCCATTTTGGTTATGGCAACATGCTATTAAGCTGCTAATGGTAGAGGTACAGTTTTCATCCTGTTGCTTCTTGAGTGCAACTTTTACTATAATATAATAGTTTCCAACTCATCCCAAGAGGAACCTCTCTAGTGGGCTGTGGAGCAAGTAGCAACACCTGCACCAAAGATGGACTTGGAAGTATTCTTTGGGCTCTTTGTGTTCAAAATGGAGGAATGTAACTTAATAGTGATGTAATTTAGCTTATGTAATGCTTATGGGCAAAGTTTGTAAATTCCAGCATAGGAAATTTGGATTTGAGGAGTTTAGACAACAATCAAGTATGGTAAATGCATTATTATTTTATGATTACAAATAACACATTTGGTCAAAAGAATATTTTTCAATTGTGGAGTTGATCAAACAGTAAACATAACTATACTTAGCAAACCTCTTGAAATGACATCAAATTTGTCAACCACGCAGCATTTGCTGGGCAATTGCTAGTATTAAATATTTTTTGGGACAAATGCTACACCAGCATCTTGTCAAAGAATTCTTTTGCCTTTTCCAAATCTCTTTACAATTTAGAGTTGTATTAAGAACAGCTAGTTATATCCCACTTCAAACAAGCTCATGGCATTTGTGTTACACTTGGCCTTGGCATATGCAGAGATCCTTATTGTCCACACCAGATTTCATTGTGGCATGCAATTAAAAACTCCTCTAGCTTTTGATTCTCAGCATATCCCACGAGTATAGCGTTCCAAGAGTAAATGCCCTCTATAGCATTCCATTAAAAACCACCTTTGCATTCCCCACATTGGAAATAAGCAAACAGCATTGTTGTGTATGAAATTATATCCCTTTCATCAAACAGGTTTTTTATCTTAAGAATATTTCCATCATAATGTATGCCTCAACGTCAACAACGTGTTTTGACTCTTTCCAAATGTCTGGCCGTGGTAAATGCAGTCTACCACTTTTGGCGAACACCTTCTCAGCAGCCGCTTGTATCATTGTGTTCCGGTGCGGCATTGTGTCAAGATGAGAATGTAAATGCCGTCTGCGACTAGCTTTGTTGACGCGACCATGACTTGGAATCGCGTGCAGGGAGGCAAAGCGCAAGTTCTTTGAATCGATCTCCACCAGTCTTTCCGCTCGTGGACAGAGGAACACGAAAGAGAGCTCAATACGCTCGTTAGACCCTAAAAAAAACAAAGAAAATCAAACAGATGGAATGCCCCCTCTCTTTCTCGGGCGCTCTGCGAAGAGTTTGAGGTACACATTTCGTGCCATCTTTATTTCCGAGTTGGACAAGACTGGGAGGAAACTTCGTGTGCCAGGGAGCATATTCAGCTAATAACATAGTTTGAACCACAAATGCGTTTGCATCCCCCTGTCTCCCCGGTTATATTCGCTAGCAGCAAGCACTCTTGGAGCTGATCAAGTGCAACCAGAAGCTTGAATCCGGAGGAAGTTGCGAGCTGAGTGCTCGTTCTGGCTGGGGCAAACAGGGGAGGGGGCTGGATTATGCAAACTAGCCATCGATCAGATCAGCTATTGTCATGATTATGCTACTCCTGACCCTCTTGATGATCCTTGGAGCAAACTTTCTAGCCGCTGGGAAGCTCCTCATGCACACCCAAGACGACGATCACACCCTCACCGATGCCGCCAGCAACGAGCTCCACGCCAGGTTCTTAGCCCTCATCACCACAATCCCTTCCCAGCTCGTCTACGATGGAGCCACGGATCCATACTTCCGGGGCCAGGCCATTGGCGACACCTTGTTTCTCCCGGAATTTAATCTCTCGTTGGTTCTCAACCTCTACTTCTACAACGTCGAGCACTGCGGCCCCGGCTTTAGCCCACATTTTGGTAGCACTGGCAGCAAGCTTCGCGAAGGATTCACGGCTCTCTTGCCGGATCTTCAAAGTCTCATGAACCGCAGCTATGGTGCCGCCTATGTCACGCAAGGCCAGTTCCAAGCCGGATACTACATCCAGGGGATGAACTTGCGAGGATCCAATGGATCGTGCTCGTCTCTCCGGATCGAAAACACCACGGATAGTATCGGCTACTGCTACGGCTACGAGGGGACGCGATTGAGCTTCAGTGCTTTCGACAGGCTCTACCCGGGTTGCCGGATTAAATCCATGAGAAGGCCCGAGTACGTTCTGGAGATGGGAGAGGATTGCAATGCGGTGTTTAGCGACAGTTCGAACAACGAGGTCTTGTGGCAGTCGAGAACGAAGGGGAGTGGACGGGAGTGCGAGCTTGTTCTCGAGGAGACGGCGACGATTGGCGTGTATGATCGAAACGGGACTGTGTTAGCGAGATTTGGGACGAACAACTCCACGAATGCGTCCTTGTTTGCGATGCAGGAAGATCGAAACATGGTGATCTACGCCATCAGCAGTATGAAGAGTGGCATGCCTGTGTGGAGTTCAGACACTTACAAAGGCGAGTTTTTGAAGAGCTTACGATGAGATCATACCTTTCTTGTGCAGATCCATCTTCAATTGGGAGGAATGGCACGACGATCAGTCCAGTTTCGCTGCCTTTGCCGAATGGAACGAGCTCAAACTCGTCCAACAAACGATCAAAGATTCTTGGATTTTGCTTGGGAGCGGTGTCGCTCGTTGTTGGAGTGGCAATTGTCGTGGTGATTTTGCGACGAAGAACGCGCAGTATAAGAGCTGGTGGGGAAGCATTGAACTGGCTACCACCCGGTAGCCAGGCGAAGAAATACTCGTACGAAGAGCTCCAGGAGGCTACGAAAGGATTTCACAAGGAGAACTTGATCGGCACCGGCGGATTTGCGAGTGTATACAAGGTATTCTTCTAAATTCGATGGTCTTTCTTACCGAGAAAAACTCCATTGTTGATACACACACTCAGGGAGTTATAGACAGTCACGTTGTTGCGGTGAAATACTTGACAAGCTCCGATCTATCGGAGAAAGCGAGGCTGGATTTCGAGAATGAGGTGTCCACGATTAGCCTGCTCCAACACAAAAACGTTGTCAAGCTTTTCGGGTTTTGCTCCGAGAAAGAACACAAGCTCATCGTCTGCGAGCTCGTTGAGAATGGGAACCTCTCCGACGCCTTGTTTGGTTAGCAACTCTAAAGAGATCTTTTAAGAAATCATGAAGAGAGTTTCTTCCATTTCAGTGTGGAAGGATTTGCAGCTAGATTGGACTGCCAGATACAACATTTGTGTGGGTGTTGCCCAAGGTTTGGCATACTTGCACGGAGAAACATCGCAGGCAACCATCGTACACAGAGATATCAAAGCCCTCAACATTCTTCTAGCCAGCGATCTCAAGCCAAAGATCTCGGACTTTGGATTGGCAAGACTGATCCAGCAAAGTCGAAGCTATACCAGCACACGAGCAGCAGGAACAGCGTAAGTTATTCCACCAATTCTCTATCTAATTGTTTTTAACTTTTCCATCTCTAGTGGCTATCTAGCTCCAGAGTATGCTCTCTCTGGTCAGCTCACCGAGAAGGCCGACGTCTATTCGTTTGGGATTCTTGTTCTTGAGATCATAAGTGGAAGAAAAAACATGGACTTCACACTCTTGGACAGCGAGTTTTTCTTGCTCGAATGGGTGAGTATGTGGTTTTAAAGTTTAGATCTTCTAGATTTGTGTGATTACCACAGGCATGGAATGCATTCCAAAGTGGCAATCTCCAAGAGATCATCGACAAGAGACTGGAGGTGGGTGACCAAGAGATTCACGAGATCAAGCGAGTGTTCACAGTTGCTCTCCACTGCACACAAGCCAGTCAAAACAAGCGCCCAGTGATGTATAGAGTGGTGGGGATGCTCATGGGTGACATGGACATCAGTGGCACCATCTCAAAGCCCGGCTTCCTCTGTGATTTAAGGCAAAACCCTGAGCAGACCGGCATCAATGACACTCACACTCCCTTTATTGAAACAAAGAGTGCAAAAGATAATTAGATACTAAACGGATAAAAAAGAATCCAGCTAATATTTTGAAATGAATAAGAAGTCAATATCTAAGGTGCATTATAAAGTCATTATGAAACACTCAACAAAAACAAGCTCAAACTTTTTAACTTGATGAAATTGTCATTATGAAACACTCAACAAAAACAAGCTCAAACTTTTTAACTTGATGAAATTGTATGATGCAGTTTAATGCTAGCTTTTGAGGTTAAGATAATTGAGTTAGATAAAGTTTGGAATAATGGCCATTGCACTTTTCTAAAAATGTCTTTTATCCCTTTTTTCTATAATATTATGTTTATGTAGCACATATAATCATGGGATGAGATTTGAATATACTATCACCGTGAATCTTTAGAATTTTAGGGGATAAATGGGGATAAAATAGCCATTAAGGGCTCTTTTATCAAGCAATTACCCTTTTTTTAATTTGTTTAAGGGGAGAGAGATAAAATGTGTTACATATGTGTAAACTCATGAGTTTGGACTTCCCGGGAGATCACCTAGCCCAGTACTATTCAAACCAAGGACATTTAACTCCAACTATCCTAAGACCCTTAACCAATTAGAAAAGGGGGTGTACTCTTGCTCATGGGCCCTTAACCAATTAGAAAAAGGGGTGCACTTTTGCTCATGGGCCCTTTCCCTCTATATTTGAACCCTATGGATCGTCTTTCGACCTTTGGTTGCTTATAATCCACCATGCTTCCCTACAAGTTCACGCCCTTGTGAATGGAAGCTGAGAACCGTAGCTCTCCCAAGATCCCCGCTCTCTTGACACCCTACCCCTCGGCTTCCTTACAAGTTCACGCCCTTGTGAACGGAAGCTGAGAGCCGCAGCTCTCCGGAGAGCCCCGCTCTCTTGACACCCTACCCCTCGGGTCGAGCCCAGCGGGAGCAAACTAGAGTCGGATTCGAGACCGCTCTAATACCAAATGTAAGCTCATGAGTTTGGACTTCCCGGGAGGTCACCCAACCCAATACTATTCAAACCCAAGGACGCTTAACTCCAACTATCCCAAGACCCTTAACCGATTGGAAAAGAGGGTGCATTCTTATTTATGGGCCCTTTCCTTCTATATTTGAACCCCATGGATTGTTTTTCGAGTCGTTCCCTTTGGTTGCTTACAATATGGTATTAGAGCAAATGGCAAGGGTTCGATTCCCATTGATTAGTGGCTGCTTAAAAATATAATATACCCTTGAGCAAGATATATTCCTACCCCTAAATTTGAAATTATATGTATTGAGCATCCATGCGTACGTCCTTCCTCTTGGTGGAATATCTAGGGATGAAAGTATATATATAGTGGATGAAGGTATCCACTGTATGTATTGAGCATCCATGTAGGAAATGGAGATGTTAATTCCCCTTGGTTCAATAGGGGCTTACACAATGGAAGGAAATGGAAGTTCTGGTAGGAAATGGAAATGTTGATTCCCCTTACCTCAATAGCCTCAATAGAGGTCTACACAATGGAAGGAAATGGAAGTGCTGGTAGGAAATGGAGATGTTGATTGAGTATAGTTATTTCTAACTTAATTTTTTGAAATTGAGATATTAGTATTTATATTATAATTTTGTTTATTAAAAGGTTATATACCTATATGAGTCCATCTAATAGTCTTTACTTTAGTTTTAATGGAGTGTTGAGCATTTGTAATTAGCTTTTTCAATCATGCTCAAAGCTATTAGTTATATATATATATATATTAATGGGCTTATTGTTATACAATTAGATTTAAGTAGTCATTTTGTCTATATTATTCATATTTTTATATGTTGTATCTAGAGTGTTACTTTTATATTGAACAAGTATATAACTTGATCATGTGAGTTTGGTATTTGAGTTTTATGAAGGAGAGATAAAGATTGATTATTGGTTGCTTTGTGACTAGTGATTACTTGTAAACTTTATCGGAGACTACTAACACTTTACTTAGTTTAATGATGATTTAACAATGATGAGTTTATTTTACTAAATGGTGTTGTAGAGGATCATATTATTAAACTTGTATGGTTTTTCTATATTAGCATATGGATTCACCTTTGTTAATATTGTCATTTATAGCTAAGTATTATTGAAGGAGTAGTTTCAGAAGTATCTTCAACCTTGGTTAGTTTGAGTTTTGAATTAGTGATTCATCCTTGTTTTCGATTAGCTTTGTTTTAATGTTGATGGCATTGAAATGATGCCTTGGTGTTGATATTGTTGGAGTTAAAATTGGAATGAAATGAGATATTTCTCTATAAGCATACTAAAGAAATTAGATTTTCCATCTATGGAGATTGATATTGAGTTTCATTCCTACTCACTACAACGAGCATCACAATCTTAATAAAATAATGTTGATGATTTGGCTATATTTTTATGTTATTGGTATTTATGCATTTGTTTGTTAAGAACTATATTGAGAAAAGTGATTTAGTCATAGTAACTAGCTTTTCAGAAAGAAATGTTAGTGAGTAATTGAAGTTGTTAAATCTTTATTAATTTGAGTTAGAATTATATAGATTATTGATGATTTTCATTGTGTTTGTCCTGAAGTGAGTTGAATCTTGACATAAAAGGTGGATTCATGAAAGATCAATTTAGTAATCATTTATTAATCATAGCTTTGTTGTGCTTAACTTTTGGACTGAGTACAAATACACTCTTTATTAGCTTTGCATTATAAAATTTAGTTTATAGACATATCAAAAGAACATTATGATTTCATTTTTGACATTGAAGTTAATTATGAGACTTGTGATTGTTATTATATGAGACTTTGATATATAATAATTTATATAGGTGGTGTTTACATCTAATAAGCATTGATGATGATTGATTGTCATTTAAGATAGTTAATTATCTTTCTTAGATATTTTATTTTATTATTATTAGTGATGAATGATTTATTATTTTTCAAGATGGTGGATTATCTTTTAATTATGATTGTGCATCTTTATTGATTGGGTGATTGATAATATCTAGTGATGGTGAGTTGTTCTATTTGATAGTTTTTGGCTTTACATTATTATATATTTTGTAATTTACTTTGAATTGATTTTTCAAGTATGAAATGTTAGTAAGATGTTGTTAATGCTTATTTTAGCAACATGGGTTCTTTAGTATTATTGACCAGGATCTATTCAACTTTTCTAGTGCAATAGTTAGCAGATAACAAATGTTTTTTGTGCTTCCAACATTCATTTTGATCTATTAACTATTGTTAATATTATTTTTGATAGATTGAAATGTTATTCCTTATAAGTGATACATTTGTGAGCATTTTTCTTGTCAATTATTAATAATTTATGTTTTTATAGCTGTCTTATATAAATTGTTAGCATACTATCTACAATATTTGGTAGTAAAGCTTTATCATTGTTTTTTTTTATGATATCCTTGCTATTAAATTTTGTTGGATGGTTAATCATATGTTTTTAAATTATAATGATCTTAGTGGTTCCTTTACTATACTGATTTATCAGATGATAGCTTAATTAGAATAATGTTCTGTTTTAGTCTAGACTAATAAAGCCAAATTAGCTTCAGCATTGCATATACATAGTAAATCTTTAGTTATGGGGTAACTACAATAGATTAGTCATACCTTTCTCACAATGTTCTTAATTTTATTAAAAGAGAATTGTCTAGTTATAGTAGTCTATCTAAATCTTAGTAACAAGTTTGGTTTATTGTTTAATAGGGTTTGGGCTATTGACTTTTCTCTTTATATCATCTATAGGTAGAGGTATATCAAATTTTGTAAGTTGGGTGACTTGTTATATAGCAAAGGTGGATAATTCCATTGATCATTTCCTTATTGGTGATGACTAAAAGATATTTATAGAAAGCATTTAATTTACTAGTGAGTAATATCTATAAAATATAATAAATTTCTATGCATTGCATTTAGCAACATTTGTTTTGCTTTATAGTAGTGTTATTTTTACTTATTAATCTAATTGATCAAATAAAGTTTATAATTATAAACATGTTTATCATTTATAAACACAAGATTAATCTTATTGCATATCAACCATTAGATGATAAAAAAAATATACTAAAAAGGGTTTAATAAAGTTTATAAATAATAAACATGTTTATAAATTATAATTACAAAATTAATCTAAATGAATAACAACCATTAGATGGTAGAATATCCTAGAATGTCCAAGCAGATTCTAGGTATATTCACTACCATCTCAGTTACAGATTTGCTTAAGCAAACCAATTATTATACTGAACATAGTGGTATTCATATCTCAACTTTGGAGGGTAACTCTTTTTTTTTTCTTTTGAAATGTTTATTTGAGATCTACCTTAGAGTCTACTAAAATGTATAGATTTCAAAGTATAAAATACGATCAAGCAGATATATAATAAATTAGTATAAATATATTTAATATGTATAGTACATATAAAAAGCACTTTAAAACAATAATAATACATGAATTATTCATCGATTGACTATTACATTATATTTACCTCTTTATTAAAAATTTTATTTTATACTTTATGATTCAAAACTTATAACACTATCTTTCATTATGAAAGGTTTTTTTTCTTAGTTTAATCTTTCTTGTGAAAGGTTCAATAAAAAATTTCCTTTCTATGAAAGGTAAAATACCTCTTGAAAGGTATAAAAGCTGTCATAATTGAGGAATGACACTAATATTGTTTCTATGTCTAAATTTGCAATTTAATATTTTATATTTAGTAAGTTTTTCAAGATTGAGACTAGGTAAAAGCCTAAAGCATGTTTTTTTTATAAAGGGGGACTTGTGAGGAGTTCTAAATGCATCATAGGGATAGTAGGTAAGTTAGATATAACTGAACAACTTAAGACATTTTTTATCTTTCCACTAGGCATTTGTCCTTGTTCTATATCTAGCTTGGGTCTAAATCTAAATTTTATACGATGTTAGTTAGTGGAGTATTTATATCTTTGTGATAGTCCATCGATATATTAAAATAATATTAGACTCTATATAACTCTAT